ATTTAAGAGAGAATTTTTTTTTTTTAAAATATTTTTCGTTATCTAATAATAATAACCTATTTATGACCTGATTTTTGAAAAAATAAAAATAAAATTTTGAAATTTGTCAAATTGAAATTTTACTTTAAATGTAAGATTATGCTACTTGTACATAAAAATGGTACATAATAGATTACATAAAATGATGTGGAGGAAAATGATTGAATGAAAACTGTGTTTTAAATTGGCAAATAATAAAATGACATGTGACAATATGTAATTCATTATGTAAAGTTTGATGTACATGTAGTAGAGCCCTTAAATATAGGTAGTTATGTATTTTTTTTTTTCCAAACTTTTTTCTTCCACGTATAAGCCGCGTCAAGATACTTTTGATAAACAAAACTTGAAAAAAGAGAGAGAAAGTACTATTTGTAGTGAAAAGGCCAAGAAAAAATAACTTCGAATAAAAATGCTTTTTAGAAGTATAGTACCGAAGAAATTAAATTAAATTAACGTCTTTCTAAATTTCAACCTTCAGATGATTCTTAGAAAATCCTCGAAAATCTTTTATCCCCACAGAGATTGACAAAACAATCTGTTGAATTTCTCTAACATTTTAAAGAGTTGTTATTGTAGCATGCAGACGATTAAATTGACTACTTGTAGATTTTTTGTAATAGAATGTACCTTACGTTTTGATAGTTTAGAAAACCTAATCTTTTTTGCATATTAGCCACTCATCATCTAATTTTCATCAAGAACTTAAAATGACTACTCAAACTCTTTAGGATAGTCTTACATTGCCTTCATAAATCTAAGTGGTAGTAGTGCCGGAGTCTGCATCCGACGAGCTACGACGACTACTCGTGTTGGCTCCGTCAAAAATTTTTGTTCACATATATCGGGCGGCCGCTTGATGGCTGCTAGCTCATATGGATTTGTCCTAACTCAGATGAATTTCTGGGTACACCAAGTAGGTCGATGAATGAAAAGGTTACCTTGTATTGGGACAGGAGGCAAGTTTTGGTCTCATTTCTAGGTTGTTTCTTTTTAAATAAGATACTCAAGCCATTCAAGCAAGCAAATCATTTTTAAAAAAAGGATAATTGCAATAGAGGTTTCAAACATTTCAAATAGTTGCAGACTTTCCCCGACATTTCATTCGTTGCAGCCATCGCCCCTAACCTTTTGAAATGTTGCAGCTGAAGCCCCAACGGATAGATTCCATCCAAATGTCTTTTAGTTGATCAAGAAATCGAGTTTGACCACATTTTTTTATATTTTTTGTAAATGGTAAAATAATAACTTTCAATTTACTATATTAAAATAAGTTCAAACTAACTTAAAGAAACAAAAGAAAAATGTAAAGAAAAATAACAACTGTACATCTTCTTTATCCTCCTCCAAACCGACCACCACTCTAAAATCCATCCAACCACCTATAGGCGTCGATTGCCGTCATTGGCCACAACCCACCATCGTCACCCGTCACACGCAGCAAACCAAAACCCATGTCTTATTACAGAAATCAACACCTAACAATTTGCAGCTGTTCTGGCTTCCTTATCTCAACCCATTTCACTCCCACCCTTCTCAACGCTATACCAACCACACAAACACACAATTGACCGTGCCCTCTGTCGACGAAGTTCAATGCATAACTTAAGGGATTATACTGGAATTTTTGCCCAGAGAATTTTTTGGAAAGAATCCAATTTAGGTGAACAAACCAGTAACTGCGGGTGCTCGGCCATCGGATATTGCACTCTCACCCGTGGCCGGAATGTACAGTCACATCACAATAATGGTAGACAAGCAGACACTAAATTTAATTACATATTTAATTAATAAATCATATTTAATATCTGTTTAATTAATACAAATTTTTTGGAATGAATGAATGTGTAACCAATTCCTTGATTTAAGAGAGAATTTTTTTTAAATATGTTTCGTTATCTAATAATAATAACCTATTTATAACCTGATTTTTGACAAAATAAAAATAAAATTTTGAAATTTGTCAAATTGAAATTTTACTTTAAATGTAAGATTATGCTACTTGTACATAAAAATGGTATACAATGGATTACATAAAATAATGTGGAGGAAAATGATTGAATGAAAACTGTGTTTTAAATTGGCAAATAATAGAATGGCATGTAACATTATGTAACTCATTATGTAAAGTTTGATGTACATGTAATAAGGTCCTTAAATATAGGTAGTTATGTATTTTTTTCCAAACTTTTTTCTTCCACATATAAGCCGCGTCAAGATACTTTCGATAAACAAAACTTGAAAAAAGAGAGAGAAAGTACTATTTGTAGTGAAAAGGCCAAGAAAAAATAACTTCGAATAAAAATGCTTTTTAGGAGTATAGTACCGAAGAAATTTAATTAAATTAACGTCTTTCTAAATTTCAACCTTCAGACGATTCTTAGAAAATCCTCGAAAATCTTTTATCCCCACAGAGATTGACAAAACAATCTGTTGAATTTCTCTAACATTTTAAAGAGTTGTTACTATAGCATGCAGACGATTAAATTGACTACTTGTAGATTTTTTGTAATAGAATGTACCTTAAGTTTTTATAGTTTAGAAAACCTAATCTTTTTTGCATATTTGAATTCGTGAACAGTCACTCATCATCTAATTTTCATCAAGAACTTAAAATGACTACTCAAACTCTTTAGGATAGTGTTGCATTGCCTTCATAAATCTAAGTGGTAGTAGTGTCAGAGTCGGCATCTGACGAGCTATGACGACTGCTCGTGCTGACTCCGTCAAAAATTTTTGTTCACATATATCGGGCGGCCACTTGATGGCTGCTAGCTCATATGGATTTGTCCTAACTCAGATGGATTTCTAGGTACACCAAGTAGGTTGATGAAGGAAAAGGTTACCTTGTATTGGGACGGGAGGCAAGTTTTGGTCTCATTTCTAGGCTGTTTCTTTTTAAATAAGATACTCAAGCCATTCAAGCAAGCAAATCATTTAAAAAAAGGATAATTGCAACAGAGGTTCCAAACCTTTCAAATAGTTGCAGACTTTCCCCGACATTTCATTCATTGCAGCCATCGCCCCTAACCTTTTGAATTGTTGCAGCTGAAGCCCCAACGAATGGATTCCATCCAAATGTCTTTTAGTTGATCAAGAAATTGAGTTTAACCACATTTTTTTATATTTTTTGTAAATGGTAAAATAATAACTTTCAATTTACTATATTAAAATAAGTTAAAACTAATTTAAAGAAACAAAAGAAAAATAACAACTGTACATCTTCTTTATCCTCCTCCAAACCCACCACCACTCTAAAATCCATCCAGCCACCTATAGGCGTCGATTGCCGTCATTGGCCACAACCCACCACCGTCACCCCTCACACGCAGCAAACCAACACCCATTTCTTATTACAGAAATCAACACCTAACAATTTGTAGCTGTTCTGGCTTCCTTATCTCAACCCATTTCACTCCCACCCTTCTCAACGCTATACCAACCACGCAAACACACAATTGACCGTGCCCTCTGTCGACGAAGTTCAATGCATAACTTAAGGGATTATACTGGAATTGTTGCCTAGAGAATTTTTTGGAAAGAATCCAATTTAGGTGAACAAACCAGTAACTGCGGGTGCTCGGCCATCGGACATTGCACTCTCACCCGTGGCCGGAATGTACAGTCTAGCAGGTCATGATTCATCACTGACTGGAATGGAAATAATATCTTTTATTCCCTTATCACACTGATCGTCGTCAACAGTCTTCTGTTGTTCCTTCAACGTCGAAACCCACCCCCAATTATCGGATTGCCAGGACCTAAAACTTCATTTTCTTTATGGGAGAATTTTGGGATGGTCTGTTTTTGATTTTAGGGATTTTGGGGGTTGGGGTGGGTGTGGGGTAGGTGAAAAAGATAATAGTTAGTTTATTTATTTCATTAATTTTTAAAAGATAATGTTATAAATATAAGATTACCATTATGCCCTTTTAAAATTTATAAAAAAATATGGTCAAATTCAATTTTTGGTCAACTAACAAACATTTGGATAAAATCCATCAATTGGGGCTTCAGTCGCAACGTTTCGAAAGATTAGGAGCTACGACTGCAACGAATGAAAGGTCAGGGAAAAGTCTGCAACTATTTGAAAGGTTTGGAGCCTCTACTGTAATTATCCCTTAAAAAATCCACTTCTCTTCACATCTAGCCCTTGTTTGATCATCATTATTTACAAAATACATCTTTCTTTATTTTCTTTTCAAAAATACATTCTCCAATAAAATAACATTACACTAACTCAAAATTTTTCCTTAATTTTTAACCGCACATAACAAAATGCATTCTTAGCCAAAAATAAGACTCAAATAGACACATAATGTGTACACTAGATTGTTAAAATTGAAAACATTTTCAACAGGCAATATTCATTTTTACTCAATTTAGCCCATGTTTGACAACTATTATTTGAAAAGTTTTTTTTCTACACACTCGATTTCAAATTATATATTCACACAATAAAATATTTTGCATGTAAATTCAAATTCTTTTTCTACTTTTTAACCACACATTCTCTTAAAAATCATTACTCAAAACATTATTTTTTCCCAATTAATAGTTGTCAAACAGGGGCTTAATCTGAGTTTATTATTTCCCGGTTTTAATGGCCTCGGCCTTGCAAATCGTACAAGAAAGCCAGCAGCGGCAAGTTGAGTTCGAACACTACATTGTTAGCAGAAATTTCTGGTACTTGCCTCTGTCAAATATTTTTAAAATAATCTTTTATTAAACTAAAAACCAAGCCAAGTATCTGTGTTCATAAACATTTATTGATAAATATAGTGAAAGGTCCCGAACAAGTACAACCTTAACAACCAGAACACATGATGTATCGATCCCTCGTTTTCCTGAAGCCAGTCTCTTGTTTAATTTACACAAACAATGAATCTTCAAAGATATGGAATATGTTATCGATACATGTTTCTGTAACTTCCTGTGGCCAAACTGGGGAAGCAACAGCCTTAAGGTGTTGGAATTTCCGGGACAACAGTATAAACCTTTACATCTTCCATGTCGGGACTCCTTACCGAGTATTGAAACGTCCATCCATGGCATGCACCCGCATGGACGCCATTCTTGTTGACCGCAAATATAGCACCTACAAAATCAGGATATTTCCGCGCAATTCTTGATATGGCGTCCTCAGCAGCTCGCTTAGGTTCCATCCCTAACCTCATGCTCTCCACAACCTGATAGCTGTAGAACAAGAACAATTGCAATTTGTATCTTGAATACAGGTTCACTACTAAAACAAATATTGTGTTCAGAAATGAGACGAGAACTCCAACTTACAAACCTTTTCCTACCGTCTAAAGAACAAAGGGTGAGCAAGGATGCATAATTTCACAAGCAGAGTCTGAAAGGAGATTGTTCCTCTAAATTTTTTGTATGTTGAAAGCCAGCCTTTACACAAAATAACGAGAATTTGGACAGACAATTGAGAAGAGTCGGTTTCTGATTCAATAAGCCCCCTTTCTCAGTCATATTTAAATAATACAGAACGCATCTCTTTTTGGATACACTCACCCTTAAGAATGTATATATAACCCAATGCCGGTCTGGTCCGATAAAACAAATACAGTTCAAACTACAAATATTAAGCACGACAAATGTTGGAAAACTAATTCTGGAAGTGCAATCCTAGAATAAAGAAAAGTAACAAATTTAACTACAGCAAAAATTTAACAAACATAAAAAACCTAAATTTCTGGTAAATGAAAACGTGCATTTCACCCTTAATGATGTAATTTTATATATGTCACAAAGGCTTTGCCAAAAGGTCGTTTTTGCTTGAAAATATGACATCATTTGCCCAAATATTGATCAAGACTGGGTCGTATATGTTTTGGGCCTTAGAATTATCCATAAGGGCCATGAATTCCCACTTTTTGCAGGCTGCATCAACTTACCTTAAATTTATGACTACCTCACCACCTTTTTCAGTAATTCAGTCAAACAGAACGTTTTGGAGGTTTTCCTAAATGCTGCCTCTCAAACCCTAGCACAGCAGGGGTCATCTCTGCTTGATGATGCAATATTAGTAGGCCAGAATTTCTCTTACTAACTCAGCTCTCTTTCCTACTTTGACACTGTTTCATCAGACGACTACCATAACATTTTAATACAAAATAAAATTGATTATTAAGCTATTTTGCCAGTTCTAATATTAGTTTCACAATTTCAAAACATCAGCTTCAGAAAATTACACAGAGCAGTAGAAATTTGAAGATCTCATCCAACAAGCTTAGGAATAACTTAGAAGGACCATAACCTTATAAACAATGAATTCTTATTCAACTTATCTACAGACTTGTGCACCATAAATGTATATTAAAATTAATAGCTAAGCCTCAGCGAATGGTTTCAAGTAAAGTACCATGGAAGGAAGCGCATCATGATATCACCATCTCCAGTTGCACCACAGGCTCCAACTTCACTGTCAGCATATGCAGATGATCCAGCAATAGGTCCATCACCAACCCTGCAAGTCACAAGTTTTCTAATTCAGATAACAAGCAACGGTTCAAAAACCTAAGTTGGCTGGTTTAGGACATTGTAAAAGTTCATTAAGGTTGATGCAGCATTAAGAAATAGGTCTTTTGAGTTCAGTAACAGTTAACATCAGTAGGTATACACAAGTACATGACAACTTCACTTCATCCATTATATCTTAATCCCAAATTTTTGACACCATCACTGTTTCAAAATGTATCAGAGCTGTTCAATATAATTTCACTATCTTCCTTATCAGTACCATACCAACAGTGTTTTACAAATTGGTGAAAACACACAGAAGATAAAACTATCAGTGGTTTAAAACTTGTTAGTAACTCTGCTAAATTGTCATTACCTGCCCGGGATTTTAAAAGTGGCCCCATTAGTTGATGTACCCACAGCAATATGTCCCATCTGGAAAAGAAACATAAATAAAAGATTATACCCAATCCAAATTATACAAACTAATGAAAAGGAAATTGGAGGAAAATGAACAGCTTACTTTGTCAATGACAGCCATGGATATTGTGTCGTGGTTGTGGAGATTAATGTGACAAGACCCTAATTTACCACAATCCAACCAATTGGAATTTGTGCATATGTTCTCGCCAAGGTTTACAGCATTCATTGCATGGTAAGGACCACAATCATCAACAGGCAGAACATTTTTCCTAAAATTAGGCTGACACTTGTTTTCTTTCCATTTGATCCATTTATCTATCGATTCTTCAGAGCTTAGGTTTGTGGGCCCCGGAAGACCCATTGAAATGGCAAAGACAGATGCTTGCTCGCCAACAAGCATAGTGTGTTTAGTATGCTGCATTACTAGTCTTGCAGCTTTGATTCCATCACTCACATACCTCATTGCAGCAACAGCTCCAACCTCCATTGTCACCTATACAAGTCTTGGCATATGGAAAGTAGATATCATTTAGTGGCATGTTTGCATGTTGACACTATTGGACAGAATTAAAGAAGAAAAAGAAGTTTAAATTTTATGCATTATCCTGTGCAGTGCCATTGAGTAACAAACATATCACAAATGCTTGACTTTTGTACCCTTGCCCAAAACGAATACAAGGAATGTGAAATTATCATATACCCCATTCATTATCATGGCATCCATCGTGGTTTCTCCATTTTCATCTGGACTTCCACCAGGACCAACTGTTCAAGAAAGTAAACCTTATAAGTAAACCTTGTAATCAATGGTGTAAAAAACTATATAACAAATTCCCTAAGGACTGAATTATAGAATAATCAAACAAACCATCCACACTGATTATATGCAGCAAAACCAAGCATTCCTGTTTCATTAACACTTGTGAGTACCGGGGTTAGATCTATCTCGGATAAAGGATGTATAAAACCACAACCATGCTATGGCGAAAGTTCTTCTAACTTCTAATTTGTTATAATGTTTGATCATCAGTTCAGTACATGTCCTACAGGAGACTCAACGAAATGGGCAATTTGTGGTGCAGTATCATCCACATAATTTTCGTTGAGTTCTCTGGAAGAGGCGAAGACTGCCCATTATTTACAGTCACTACAGGTATTGTACCCTTGCATTGCTAACCCTCTCATTTTGGGTAAAAGAAAAAGAAAAAGAAAGTTCTCAAATTTTATAAAATAATGGAACAAGCGGGTTATCACATATTGTCCGATAGAATCAAACTTGATCTCTCATTGGATCAGAGGGGTTCGTCAACCAAAGGTTTCAACCAATTTTCCATGTCTCTATGATTCATAAAACAGAATCAAGAATACTTCTCCGTATATAAAAAAAATAGCATAGCAGGAGTAGGCTACTTCAGATTACACTACTGACAGGTTTTCAGGGATTCAAAAATATGTAATCTTCTAGATCATCAAAATTTTGGTATTAAATGACCAATAGCATAAAGTGCATTGCGATACTAACTTAAAAAGTTTAACTTTTTATAATTAATTTTTCATTTCAACAATTTTGGCCCATAACCGCTAAAGCAAAAGAAGATATTAAAGCGAATATTCTGGACAAGAGCTTAGCACTCCAGATTACCAGTAAACCAAATTTCAGAAAGGCTCAATCAATATGTGATCTGTGGGGTTTAGCTATTTCAGGTAAGTCTGGTTTCACATCGCTGAAATTCAGTTTCAGATAAATGTCATTGTCAGCAGAAATCTTTTTCTCATGCAAACAAAAACTCAACATCCACAAACAAAACAGCAATAGAGAGTTATATCGATATTTTTTTTTTTCCCTTGAGAACTTGGATGAAATAATAGCATTCATCCCAGATGGCACTTACACATTCTAAAGATTTAGATAGTGTGGCTGTTCACTAAACAAAATGATTGTCCAAGTACTCTGATTTTACAAGACAAAGCTGCGAGATGGTGATTTGGTCGTGCATTAGATAAACAACTTATGTTGCTTTTTAAAACAACAAAATACAACTTATAGAGTTTATACATATGATAGATTTATATGTTTGTGCATGTGAGTATAATTTTGTATATGCATGGGAATCTTTGTTGTTGAACTTGAAACCATTTAAATTGAGTCAAATCGATCAAAAAATCCATATCATATGATAAATATATTGTTGAAAACAAGACCTACACATATGTGTTGAAAATGAGATTTAAAATGATATACACGCGGTCTTCTCTAAGAAGCTAACGGTTTAAGCTTTTAAATGAAGTTCTTCAACTCATAGTCCAAACATTGCTTTCTTATTTCACCAAAAAAGCATTTCATAACAGATTCCAACCTGTACCATCACATCTTAATTCCTCACAAGCAGAACAACCTTCCACAACTGCATCCATGGCTGAAAGCCCACTATCAACAGTTCTCCAGGCTGCTCTAACAGCTTCCAAGAATGGCCAGGTACTCACAACTAAAGGGTATTTCCCTGAACTCTTAACCTCTTCTCCAAATGCCTATTTGGAACATATAAACCGGAGCATCAATAGAGTTTAATGAAATGTAACAAAATATAATAACATATATTAATGTCAATCTTTCTATAATATATAAAATATCAACACTTTTACATTGAGAGAGAGAATCCTATGGTAACATGTTCCCTCGATAAATAACGTCAAATATATTATTAGCAATAAAATCTTCCCCCACCAAAATCTCCCTTTATTTAGTTTTGTTAAACCAAGCTTTGGCTTCAATTTAGTTTACAAGCTAAACTAGATAGTTGTCAAAGTCTTCTTTCATTGCTTACTTCTCTTCATACCAACCTTCAGGATTTCTTTGTCATTCCCGTTGAACATCAACCTTCCAAACTCTACTTGAACTTTCTAATCTATTCTCTCGTACAGCTCGATAAAATATTGAATGCATTCCGCTAGAATAGTAGCTAGTAGAATTTCGATTCAAATAGGAAATAAAAGGCACTATATTTAGCATTTGGTTAAAATGAAAACCCCAACCATGAGCACAACATAAGCTTCAAAAGATAAATAAACTAGAAAAAATCAATTCCTAACAGCAAAAGGAAAATATGACGAAAGATAAAATATTGAATCTTGGAGTTGCTTTCTCTTCTTTCCTTATTTAGCAAGTCAGAAACCCAACTTCAGTAACAGAAATTAAATTGAAGAACAGCCAAAAGGTAGAATTAAACTAACAGAATTAAAAAAAAAAAAAATTCATATCACATTAGCCCGGAAATTGAATGACAAAGGAAATGCTTATAACCAACAAGACTAAAAAAATTATCTCCAATACACACAAAAAAATAAATAAATAAATAAAAATAAACAAAAAAAATGAGAATAAACTTGAAGAACGCACAGAAACCCAGAAATACAGTAACAGTCCAGATTAACCACACTTGCATACATAGATGAATATGCAAGTAAAAATACGTATGAATTGATGTAGACCCA